GTTGTTGCTTAGCACTAAGACGCAAGATGGCTGGCTGACGGCACTTGTCAAGTATTTCTTGGAACTTGAGAAACATTTTTCTTTTGAACCATTTGATATTGACGTCAAGGGTCCTTCGTCGTGCACGCTGAGCTTGCTTGCTGGCCTTGGAGAAGCACGTCGGAGTTAGTTCTTCACAGAATCAACTGGCTACGAAGCAGAAGACGGCATCAGCATGCAGCTCTGACGGCACCTAGGTGCTGTGGCGATCGGCCTGGGTCCAACTTCCAAGGAGCCGCTCGGTGGAAGCAAAAAGGGAGCCAGCTCAGGTTGACATGTTTTTCCACAGAACCCCCTACCTGGATTGTCAAACCAAAAACGAAAGGAAGAATCTGAAAAAATCAAGCTCAAGGTAATCATGACTTCGGGTTTCGTTTGATCCTACTTTATTTCAAGCTTCCATTTGTCCCTCGTGACTCGGCTTTTTTGAGTTCTTGCTCATTTCAACATGATATATTTTGGGTAAGGCCTTCATATACTGCAGCCACTCCGAGTGATACTCAGAGCCCACGCCCGATCCCGGCCAGTGATTCCAGAATCGCCCACCCAAATGCATCATTGAATGTCTGTTTGAGGCGGGGGGTGCGTGTAAAGTGTGGGCCACGTGCCGCCCTCCTTCCAGGGTGGGATAGCTTGACACCTGCAGTCCCATCACCCAGGAAGGGTGTCAAATGCGAGTCATTGTTTCAGTGGACTTGCTTGGAAAAAAGGGAACCCCTTTGACTTGATTTCTGGTGAAGCAGCTCGTGGGAGGGAGCGAGTCCTCCAAGGTTCTTTGACGCCGGCCTCAAATGCCATCAGCAGCCTGGCAAGTGTGGGATCAACATGCACTTTGCAGAGAGTGTCAAGACATGGGTTTGTAGCTGTAGAGTCACTGTAGAGCCTCAATATGGCGCTCTGCCTTTTTTTTGGGGGGGAGTGTTGAGTGGGGCAGGCGGAAGACAGTTCCATTAAACACCATTAAGCTTTAACCATCATTAAACCTTTAAAAACACATAAATCATATTACATACAATATAGCTGCTGCACATGTGTATTGATATTATCAAACAAATACACACCCATAAAATGCGACCTGCTCATATGTCTTCACCATGGATGTTGGACGAGTCATGGTTTAGGATGCCTCTGTTCATATTTTCGCACTTGGGGTCGTATCGGCTCCTAAAAGTCGTCTCGAGAGCAAACCCATTTTTTTCACTTTCCGACACATTCTAAAGGTGGAGGTTCACAGATAGCCGGCTGGCTGAACTTCACATATTCACCATGACGACTCAACCCAGGACTCACCGTGACGGACTCTGTTTCGCGCGCGCCTCTTCGCGCGTGAGTGAGTGAAGACACACGGCGCTCAGGCAGGCGGTGGAGATGTATCGGCAAAGACCAGGGTATCAGCGGCCCTTGGCAATCCAGTGCGCCGCCCTCGGCAGGTGGAAGCGGCATGTGGAACTCCATGTGCTGGCTGGCATCACAGTGTGCAGCCCTCGTCTTTTCGATTAGACCGCTACTCTTGGGCTCCAATACTCTTGACGTCTCGTGGAATTGAATAGTCTTGGGTGTGTAAATCCTTTGATGTTGCTACACACTCAATGAGTTCGGATCCCCTCGCTTAAGGTGGGTCCTCTGGAGTTGTTTTTGGACGCGGTCTGTCGGTCTGCTCGGTCTGCTAGCCTCCACAATTCCAAGACCTTGCGCTTTCCAAGTGGTAAAAGCGATGGCCTCCACCCTAAGAGCAATCGCCTCCACCCTAGTAGCGATGGCCTCCAACCTAAGAGCGATGGCCTTTATGGCAAATCCAAGGCCTAGCGCTTTCCAAGTGGTATTTGCTGATGGACCGTGCGCGAGATGCGCTGGCGCCTGCCAAGGCAGGTGAGTGCATGTGGTGAGTTGGTGGTGTGAAGGACCTTCCACGGTGGATTCATGACCAAAACGGGCATGGCTGAAAGGAAAATTGCTTTACTTCGAGTGATCCCCACCTACCCACTTACCCCACGAATATCATATCAGCTGTACTGTTTCAACGAACAACAACCAAGCAGTTTCACCGGCAAAGGGAGCAGTGTGGACGATTGGCAACAAACAGCCAGCTGGTTGGTGTCCGAGTCATCACTTTTGATATGTGCTCGCCCCACTGGGGAAGCACCCTCGCCCCACTCAGGTGGGGTGTGAAAACCATGAAGAAGCACACGTCCGTTGGATGCAATGCATCATAGACATTCATAGACTCATATCATCTCAGGATGAAAAACATCTTCCACACACTTTCGACACACCTTCCACCTTTTTCAGCTCCGTTTGGGCTTGGTCGACAACTCCACGTTTTGGCTCCACAATGGCGCGCTAAGCTTTTTGCCAGGAAAGCTTAAAGCTTTTCACCGAGCCGCTTGGGAAGATGGGAAGATGGAGAGGATGCGTCAGGGTGGGCATGTCGGGTGTCTACGGTAGAATCGGGTGTCTATGGAAAGCTGGTTTCGGGTCCTTGTTACTAGTGGCGTTCTTGCTCCTAGTAGTAGGGCCAGAAGCCCCTATAGTAGCGTCCTTGCTCCTAGATGTTTGTTCAAGATGGGGGGCAGATGTTGTAGACAGGGCTGCCTCACAGCATATGTTAGATCAGAATCTCAGAAGGAAGCCACTGAACTTCCGAAGAAAGCCACTTAGTACAACCCCCTGATGGTGTTTTCCATCTCCGAAGGCATCCTCGTCCGACCCCGGCGAACCCACACCGGCTCCGACCCCACCGGGGAACCACCTGGAACAGCCAGGCCGAAAAACGGTGGACCACGTGTGATGGCAAAGGAGTGGAAAAGGGGAGCGAAGGGAGCGAGTGACTCCTGACAGATGCCAGCTCCATCATATTCTGTTGTTGGAGTGGAGGCCGGCTCCATATTTTACTCCAACACACACCCCACTCATGGGGTTTTCAGTCCGAATTTTTCAGCCCACTCACGGTCGACCTCACGTTGTGAAGAAATTCGGGTTTCACGAGACCGAGGCTGGGAGGCTTGTCCGCGGACTGGCGGCAAGAGGCTCTCAGCCAGTTGTGCCGCGTGCGGCTCAGCCTCGCGGATGTGAAAGGCGCGCAGAAGATGGCACAGGCGCGGGCTGGAGGGCCTGGAGGGGCGGGAACACTCGGGCGGTGGCGGCAACATGGCCAAATTCGTGGTGCTTCTTTGCCATGTGACGCGGGTGCCAGAGCTGGTCACCAAGTCTGGGGAGTGAAGATGAGTGTCTTTTGGATGTGATGGATCACATGGGGGGTGGTAGAGATGGTTCAGATACGTGTCACATAGTAGGATTTTGTTTCAACCATGGAACACTGGAAGGTCATAGAGCCACAGTTGTAAGTTGCAGAGAGGGAACTCCAGACAAAAGTGATATTATGTGACGGTTAGAGAAAGGAAACTCCTCTTGCAGGGCATGAGAGAATCAAACCGCCTGAAACTACCTGAACAGTTGGTCTTTGGGGATTTCCAAACTCAGATGGAATACTCCCTCATTGTTCACCTAAAATTTAAAATCCACTTCCCCATTGCTCAGAAGAAGCCAGACTCAAATCCTGGTCAGAGCTTGGGGATAAATTAGTCCACATCAAGATCATCAAGAAACCCTGGTTTGACCATGTTTGACCACTATAGTTCCTGGAGACCTTTGATAATATATAAAACTATAATACTGTATATACACGTTTACATGGCATATACTGTACTCAATTGAGTCCAACTAGATACAGATCCTTTTTGGCCTTGAGGGATGAACATCCAGCTGCGTGTCCTTTGACATGAATATCACCCCCCCGCTACACGGTCCATCGCCTGCCAGGAGGCGGAGGCGACCTGCGGTCACGACCAGCGGCTGAAGCTGCTGGCCATGGAGACGAAGGCCCGGGGGGGTTGGTGGGGAGACGAGGCAGCTGGAGATGGATGTTGCACCAAGCGCCAAAAGAGAGAAACATGGACTGTTCAATGTAACTGGCCCCGCATATGTCATGTTGAATAATATTGCATCAACTGGTCGTTTGCCATGATCTTTCTGCAGACATCCTCTCGACTCCAGTCAGTCAGTCAGTCAGTCAGTCAGTCAGTCAGTCAGCCAGCCAGCCAGCCAGCCAGTCAGTCAGTCAGTCAGTCAGTCTTTTCTTGGTCGCTTGGTCAACTGACGCTGACTGGTCCAGTGGACACATTTTTGGATTTCAGGCCTCAGGTGGTTGTTTTGGGGTTGGGGTCATTTTGCCTGCTGTGTTGGGAGTCCGTTTCTATTAGTAGTCTTAGTTCAGTTCGCTGTTTTTCTCACCACTTTATGACGACGTCCGCAGAGTGTTGTCCTCCGTTTGGATTGAAACATCATGTTCAATTGTCCCGTACTGAGCCGAGCGACAGTGACCATTCCTTCGTCTTCCTGATTATCGGATAGATCCAGCCGTAGCCATAGCTACTAGTAGCAAGAAGTTACTAGTAGCACACACTGCCATCCTCATGTGCTTTGCGAGGTCTTGGTGAATATGGAGCTGGACACCCTCTATGTGCCTTGGCGCAAGTGATGGGTCGGCTAGTCGACTCGCATCAAAAGGGGCCGAGGTTCTGGAATTCTGTGAAGAATCTTCAAGCAGTGCATCGACTCGAGGCTGTCACGCCATGTGGCCCCCAAGCTGCCTCCGATGTCGGCACGCTGGGCGACACGTTCCGACCACGGGGCCGCCCCAACCGGAGAAGCCCTGGCCGAGGAAGGTGGCAACCTAGGGGAAGCCCTGGCCGCCGCCCGTGAGGGGCTTCAGCTGGCCAAGGACCTCAAGGACCGGGTCGGTCCGGAGCGCAGGAGCCGCTGCGCCCAAACGGGTGCCGGCTCTGGGAGGCCACACGTGCTGTGCACTTTGGCAAGACTTCATGGTGTTGCTGGTCAGTCTCCAGACTGAACAGTCTCACATTTGTTCACCTTGTTTCATGCTTCTGTTGTTTTCTTTTGTCATGTCTTGGGACTTGGGACGCTCTGAGAGTACGGCAGCCAAGAGGACAAGAAGTGCGAAGCGAGCATGCTCCACCATGTGGCCCAAGCATGCCTCAGGCGTTGGCGCGCGTCGTGCATCCTGCAGAGTGTGGAAGCAAACTGTCGTGTGAAGTTTTTCAATGAATGGAAGTCTTAAATAGCTTTAAGGCTGACTCTTGAAGAGAGTCTTGAGACAGCCTTGGGCAATCCAGCAGCTGAAAAAGTTCACAGGAATCACACAAATAACAAGAAGAGTATGTTTGTTGAGCCCACAATGCAAATCCAAATACATCAACAATTCCGTTTGTTCGATTTTTTACGCTACTAGATGGTCATTCAGAATTATGCTTATTCAGAACAGAGCTCATCCATAGCGGATGCTAGCACCTGGAGGTCGTAGGACATTATTCCATGCAAAAAAACTGACAGAACCTGCGTTGCTGCGTGGTCGAGCTGGCTGTTGCTTGGACATTGCAGTGTAATTCATTTGTACGAGAGGTAAACGTCTCCAAAAGGTTTGAACTTTTGCCCCTGTTCGCATATTTCGGATTCCTGTATGACCAGAATCTGTCATGATCCCCTCTTCATTTCACACATACCTTGCATTGCAATGCGGTCGATTCACTTTCACCTTCCCCCCTCCGCGCCCCTCCTTCCCCCCTTCCTCGATTCATGTGCCGCACCTACACGTCCTGCGGCAGACCCCGGCTGCCGTGTCGGCTGCAGTGTCCGTCGCACCCCGGAGGCTTCGGCGGATGGACGATGCCTTGGAGGCGGTGACGAGTAGCTCCACGAAGCTTGGGCGGCTGGGGGAGTTGAAACAGGCTCGAGAGGGACGAGGGGAGAATAGGCATGTTTTGTTGAGGGGACGGGGGAAACCCAGGATGGCCCATGTTTTTGGAGATTCGACGTCTGTGTTGATCAGTCTCATGGTCGGATTTTTGTTGGCGACACTTCCAAAAAAGTGGTCCAAGAATGTCCAAGATATTCAATAGAAAAGAACACGCGCGCGTTTACCGTTAGCATGCTTTCTCTTACAGTGGCAGAAACACCCCAAAGGTCTTACCATGGAAAGGCAACGAAACATGTGCAAATGTAGGGTTGCCCTCCTGGGGTTTCAACAGATTAAATTCTGTTCATTTCTGTTCCAAATATGGCCTCATCAGAAAGGCACCGGAAGCACTGAGCGCTTGCCAAGGACTCTGGACGATCTTGGTGAGCAGTCCCAGCGCTGTTTGGTCTTGCAGCAGCATGGTTGCAGAGGAGTGTGGAAGCAAGTATGGAAGGAGGGTAGAAGATTGAAGCGATTCATGAGGGAACCAATGGCAAAATTGCATGGATCTCTTCTTCCCCCAAATAACTGAGGATTAGAAGGGATGAGAACACCGGCCAGCGGCCAGAGGGTGGAATCTCGAAGGGCATGATCAACTACAGTGCTCTATGGTCCCCAATGCACTTTAATCCTTTAGTGTTTGGGGCCCCGCGCATGTGCCCCAAATCGTAGACGCGTCTTCCAAAACCCGAAAAATGCAACAAATTGTGGTTTCGTGCGGGGCCCCGGTTAGCGTCGTAGGCTAAAACAAGGTGGGGAGTGGGAACGCGTCTTGGGATGAATATAAGGTCTTAGGCTACTTCGGTCAGGATTGCTCAGTGCTTGAAACACATGAAGTGCAGATTTTGTTTTGGTGCTTCACCATTTGCTTTTCCAAATTTTGAACCCATCCGCAGCACAAGCAGGCACAAGCACCGATGACTGTCAGACCACCCAAAAGCGCCAAGCATGTGATGTGTGCCGGGTCAATACTGCTTCTTTGCCCCGTTGGGACGAATGCCTTCAGGAAAGCAATTAAGTTATGAGTCCAGAATGATTTGTAAAACTACCAGGGAACCTTCCGGATCTCCAATCAAGAGACCCCGACTGAGGACGGCCATTGAGATCCTTATGGCCAAGGTGGGGACCGTGGATTGGGTCTTCGGTACGTGCGGGGTGGTGGGTAGCGCATGGTGGGTTTTAGCCCTTGATGTTCCTCATCGAAGATCAAAGACAACGGCAGCTGCACCCCGCAACTGCAGCCTTTCTGCAGATCCGAAAGCAGCTTGAGAGGGTCCAACATCTTCTTCAAGTGGAGAAGCAGCAAGCCAAGGATTCGAAACCAAAAACCAACTCCATTCTAGCCCAAACCTCTACCAGCTCCCGACTGTACCGACAGGTCTTTAAGAGGTCAGCTGTGAAACAAACAGTTGCAGGCTGGTGACGTTTGCCAGGCTTTGGTCCTATGGAAAGCACTAAAGGACATCTAAATGAAGTTTGTGGGGGAACCCCTTCCCAACCTCATGAATGATATTTATGCATTACATCACTGATCACATCTATACATCTCTTCACTTTGAAGCACCGGACCTGCACCGGTCGCCACGACACTCCTGGACCTGCTCCGCGCTGGACAGGGAGATCTCCGCGCGGCGCTGGAAGTCTGCCAGGAGATCCGCCGATTGGCGCAGGAGACCCGGAGCACGACCCGGTGCAGACGGGGGACACTGGAGAACGGTCGATGTTTTGTTGCCGGTTGGTTTGAGCGGGAGCAAGAGACCCGTTTGGGGCAATCACTGAGTGGAGGTTGGGAGGGGCAATAAGTTTTATGACGAGGCTGAGTGGTTTTCACTGGTAGGCAAGAGTATTTTGCAACAAAAAATGCTCCGCTGGTCTGCTGGTTGACAAGAATCATCAAGAAACCGTTTCCTGCATGTATCGGACCGAGCCTAGAGCCAAAAGTCATTGGCATGATGTGGCACATTTTACCTGAGACCTTTGAAGTTCTCGAGCAGACGCGCATTCCTTCAACCAGCACAGGTGCAGCACAGCTATCCATTTTTCTCTGGGTGTCACCACTGGTGTGATGGAACTCCTTGTTCACCCCGAGTGTGGGTGACTTTTCACTCCCTGTATCCCAGAGAGTTCTACACCAACTAAACCAAACAAAATCTGTACACTTCACGAGGAGAAACACCGCTCCGCCATCAAGTCAAGAAGCCCACTCCGCTCGCTCCGTGGACGCCGCGCCGGGGCGGGGGCGGGTTCTTCCACCGCGGGAGCCGCGGACGGCTCCGCGCGAGCCGCGCGTCCTGGCAGGACTTAGGGAAGCGCTCCCGCGAGGCGAGCCGAGCTCCGAACCAAAAACCCTGTCGTCGAGCTTCTATGAATCTGTTGGATCTGCAAAAAGCATCAAAAAGCAAAAACACACCTTTTCCCCACTCCTAGCAAACAATCCAGGGGGTCTGAAGAGTTTCACCGCCACAAAAACAAGTAATTAGTAGTAGTAGTGGTGGTGGTGGTGGTGGTAGTAGTAGTAGTAGTAGCAGTAGTCGTATTCGTAGGCGTAGTAGTAGAAGAGATAAGTAAGGATTTGAAAGGGCAGCAATAGCAGAACGATAATAAAGTTAGACTTTTTCCCGTAGGGCTCCAAGTTTGCTTATTAATCCCACCCCCTAAACAATTCATACTATTCAATTACCCTGGGCTTGTGTACTACCCCCCTTGAAAAATTGTTTGGAGCAATGAAATTGTTGAGTCTTAATAAGCGTTTTTGAAAACGATTTCCAGGTCAGAATTCCATGAATCAAGCAAACCTCAGGAGAGTTCAGTATGGACGGATGTTAAAGGGTGAGCAATAGCAGAACAATAGAAAAGCAAACAAACCTTTAAAAACACCCTGGGTGAAAAACTTTTTATTATTCCGACCCATTAAACTAATCAGGCTGTGGGAATAATTTGGCCAACATTTTTTTTTTTAAAGTCCCATTTTACAGTACTAATTTGGATTCAACACTATATTTTAAATCAAACTATACATAATATATTGTTATTGGTTGTTTGGAGTTGTTTTCGTTTCTTTCTCTTGGGTCTGGTGATCTCAAAGCATCAAGATTTCTAGGTAAACCACCAAAGTCATACTGACCTATATCACCAAAGTTTCGAGGTCGGTGTTGGGCATCAACAGCGTTCGTATAACGGACACTGGTCTGCCCGTGAGATCACTCTTGACCAGGTGGACCAACCTGCAGGTAGCACCCCCCAGCATGCGGCATGACCAGCACCGTGCAGGCCAACGCCATCCTGACAGAGGCCCAGATCTACCACGCGGCAGGCAGATCTGTGTCTCTTAAACGTGTCTTCAATGGTGGGTCTTGTCTTGTCCTTTATAGAGTGCTTTCCTTCACTGCCTATGAAAGGCCGTGACGGACAGGGACCGCAAGTCGCGCTATAGAGTGCTTTCAAAGAGATAAAACGCAATTTTCTTCTCTACCGGATGATTGTAGATGTTGTGGGCCTTTTTCCCCTGACCCAACACCAGGGACTGATGTGAGTGTAAGTGTAGATGTTTTGGTCAAATTTCTCTAGGAGTCTATGACCGATTTGCTTGATTTTCAAAGCTACTAGTAACAAGGGCATCGCTACTAGCAACAAGGATGCTACTAGTAGCTCCTGGCCATACTACTAGTAACAAGAAACTACTAGTAGCTTGCTTGATGTTCAACTTATGCTTCCTGCCCAACCAGTGGGTCGTCCCAGCCGCACCTGCACCAGGCAATTGCTCGCAAGCGCTCGCGCTGGCTCGAGATGCCCAGGCGGGCGCCACCGGTGTTCTTTTTTTTTTTTTGTCTTGACATGTCTTGACTCAATTTTTCAATCTACGCACTTAATTAAGGCCCTCTTCAGAGCAGATACCAGAACAGGACACTTGATAAATGTCATGGGCCGCACGGAGTGAGACCAATTCCGTTTTTGGTCTCACACTTCGGAAAGCTAGGACCTCACATTCTTCACTTGGTTTGTCTCTGTGGGTTCTTTCAATTCTGCAAGATTGGACACAGCCTTATCGTTCCTGGTAGGTGGAGAGAGATGCGCATGCATCCTGATCCACCTGCTTTCCTCCGGATCCCTGCTCCACTCCCTGCCACTCTCGACTCCCCCACTGCCTGCCACTACTACCCCCCCAAAAAAAAACATCCAGGTGATCTTCCAGGCGGTGGATGACAAGAAGGGCGAGGCCTACTCGGTCGATCGGATGAAGCGATCGGTCGGTCGCTCGGTGGAGGATCATGGATTGATAGAAATGAAGACCACCGTCCTTGGAACACAGAGGCGATCTGTGTTTCTTTTCTCTTGATCTCTTGGTGTGTGTATGTGTGTGAACCATCTGAAAAGGATCTGAAAAGGGTCAGTCTGTCCGTTTTGGGTTCGCAAAAACCTTTGTGGGAGGTGACCTGGCGGCTGTTGAACCCGCGCGTTGTTTTCTTTCTTTGGAGGAAACGACCCAGAAACGACCCCGGGTGGCTTGTCGAAGATGTTTGGAACCAAAGCACTCAGCATTTCCATTGGACATGTCGACATGCCTTTGGACATGCCTTTCGACCTGTCCAGTGGGCCTTGTCCGGCCTGAACCAATCCTTCGCACCCGAAACGTAACGGCGCCGCGGGGCGACGGCGGTGTGCGTCGGTGTGCGTCGGAGCTGGCAGGGAATGAGCTGGAGCATCATCTCTGAGATCCAGAAGAGCACTGGCGAGAAGGTGTGGTGGTGGAAGAGGGTCTGGTGATTTTTGTTGAGATGAGATGAGCGTATTCGCACAGGTTTGAGCACTGGTTGGACGGTTGGGAGGGTGCTGAGATGTAGAGATATGCAGAGGACGGCTGAAAAGGTAAGGATTGGATTTGGACAAATGAATCACAATTACTCCCCAGGTCCGACAAACAATTCATTGAACGCTTATTATATAATCGATAACATATATATATATATATTGGAAGACATCCGGAGTGTATTAAGCACCCTGATGCACCCGGCCCTGTCAGCGGCCCTGTCAGCGGCCCTCCAGCGTCATCCCTTTTCTCCAGGAGGATGCCCTCCGTGCGTGCCGCAGCACGCGAGCCCTCTACCAGCAAGCAGGCGACAAGCGCTCACAGGCCGGGCGACCCGTTCCGTTCGGTCGTTCCTCATCGAATACCTGGCTTTGGCGAATAGAATGTAGGACGGTGGATGGAATGAAACTCCCATATATGAAGAGATGTTGCTTTAACTCCAATGGGGAGTTTGATTCATCAGCATTCTACATTGTGAAACGTGGAGGTCAAACTCCTGTTGCCTAAAGAAAGAGGGGTTCCGGCGAATCTTGTGCGAAGCAAAAGACCCAACATCTCGGAGTGTAGATGTGCTAGATTGACAGTTCTGGACAATCTAATGGGTGTTGATTCAGAACCCAAAGAAGAGGGTCTTTTGGGTTGAGCTTATACTTCCTTCTGATTTCTACAGCTCTTGTTTTGAGGAACATGATTTGTCCTGTTCGATGGAGGCTAGCAACTCATTGACGTGTTAGCATGCCATCATGCCATACCCCAAACAGCGTGCGGTGGATTGGTTCCCAGTGAATTCAGGAGAGCCCATGAGAGCCTGGGTGGAAAGCCTGTATGGAAAGATTCAAACCGGTGGAAAGGTATGGTTTTTCACCAGTTGTTTCTTCTGGTTTCACCCTGAACGTCTGCCGAGCCCGTTGTCGAGAACGTTCGAGGCCTACGCCATGAAGTCGGAGGGCCCGGTGAGAAGCGGGAGAAGAACGGAGGAAGAATGGTTCCAGTTCTGTTTTGGGGCTTCGCCATTGTAGATGGAGACGTTTTGAACTTGGACTGGAGTTTTACGTTTTGTTCTACTGCAGTTTCGAATTCTTTTGGCGGGAATGTTGTTGCCAGAGCTCTTGGTGCAAGGATGACTTGATCTTACTTGGCTTTCTGAAAAACAGACGGGCAAATGATAAATATTTTATAGAGTATACAACGTGGGACAGCCTCAGCTTACAGCTTTCAGTGCCTCACACTGCGGAACAGCGCCCTAACCGAGGAACAGCGCGGCGCTGTTCGTGGCGAACTCCAGTGACGAAGAGGCCGTCTCCGTCTCCGTGGGCCGTTGCTGGGGACCCTGAAGTAGATCGAAAGAAGTGACTGAGAAGAGATATGGTGACTTCGGTCCAGATGCAGGTTCTAAGTTGGGAAACACCAAGTATGGATAAGTCAGATGCTAACACAGGGCCATGTGTGAGGCTTGAGCTATGACAAATTATAATGAAACCTACAGGATCCTATAGACTTGGATGGACCGGGGGTTGACCACCACCACTGGCGTGCAGGCGGTGCGCGAGGCGCACGAGGCCTTGGCTTTGGCACGTGCAGCTGGCGACTCCAAGGCTGAGGCGCGGAGAGCAGGTGGAGTGGAGAGCAGGTGGATCAGCACCGGAAAGTCAGCCAACCTAATAGCAATGGCCTCCAACCTCTCAGAGAAGTGGAGGGCTGGTGGATCAGCTCTTTCGGCCAACATCGGGAGGGGGTTGGACTTCTCCGTCGTCGCGGACGTGTTGTGGGTATGCAGGATAGTTGATTCCATCGATGCGGGTGCTGCTTGGTCAGGAGGGGTCAAAAGATGTTAGAAGGTATAATGAAGTCTGGCCACCCATGCCATGCAGGGGCCAAACACATTCGTCCGCGCGACCATTCTGGACCAGTTTCTCAGACCGTCTGCCCTGCCACCAGGTGGAGATGTTGAACTTGGTGGCCCAGGCAACCCTGAACTCCATCATCAAGCGTTCGCAGGTCCGGTCTCGCGGTCTCGCTCGTTCGCGACCGAGGTATGCCGTCGACCGAGGTATGCGGTCGACCCTGCATGACATGCCCTTTTCTGGTAAAGACATCTGATTCCCAAGGCATTTCTGATGCCCACCAGGAGATGTCAGACGACGATGCCATCGCCTACATCACCGTGCATGAGGTGCGCGGTGAGCGCGGTCATCGGACACAGGTCCTGCCCTGGGGCAGATGGTGCTCGACATGGGCCAGATCTGGAAACTTGAGGTGAACAGGAGCAAGGATGCTACTAGGGGCTCCTGGCATCGCTACTAGGAGCAAGAAGCTAGTCCCGGTCGTGGCTTTGGCTTTCAGTGAAGCCGCGGCGCTATACAGCCAGGATTCGGCGGTGCGCCCTGCACGGGAGGCCGCCGCGCTGGCCCGGAAGATGGGGGACAAGCAGCCAGGGACCCCAGATGTTGGGCCATGGAAGATCATGGAACTGCTGCACTGCACACTTTGTGACACAGAAGGTAGCACATAAGGCACTGAGGCCCCGTCTTTTTTTGGGATGTGGATGGTGTTTGTATGTCAGACTTCCAGAGCTTTGTATTTGTTGCAGAATTCTTGCCTTTTTCCAGCAAGAGCAATGCGTCTTAGACTGTGCGCCTGATTCCAAAGCATGGCCTTTTGTTGCTTCAATCCACTCCCAAGTCCTCTTCAGCACCGCCGTCTCGCACCCAGGATGACGGGCATTGCCACGTGCCGCACGGGGCCGTGAAACGGGGCCGTGAAACGGACCAAAGCAAAAGGGGGTGGTGAGATAGGCGGATCATGGGGGGATTGGCTCGATGCAAGGATTTTTTTCATGCTTTCATTTTTGCCATACTCTGCCATGCCGCCCTAAGAGTTATGTAATAGAACCATGGACCATCAGTCTCTTCAAGAAGCACCACATGTTTCCTTGCATTGGCGGGAAGGTCCAGGCAGGGTCTGAAATTTGAGAACACCCAAGTCCTACCACACTCCAAATCCCATTTTTTGGGCATTAGATTCTAATTAAATTCTATAGCTTCTTGTTACTACTAGTAAGGCACTTGTTGCTAGAAGCGATGCACTTGTTACTACTAGCTTTTTTTGGCACTTTAACCAGATGCTTCTCTCGACCTTGCCATCCACGCTCCTCTCGAAAGCCGCGAGTTCCGAGTTCCTCGCGCCAGGTATTCAGTGGCCCAGTGCCATGCCGTGGCTGGGCGCACCGGTGCAGCGGTCCAGGCAGCGGGATGGTGATGGACCGCGTCCTTCGGTGGTGCAGGTAGGTGCAGGTAAACTGGAGTGTTCAATAGTGGTCTAAGATGTTCTTTAAGTATAGCTGGCTACTGAAGCTATCTCAGGCGCCTTCTTGAAAATGGTGTGTGTGTGTGTGCATGTAGAATCAAATGCATTGGATCAAACTTCATTGATGTCTATAATATTCTATAATTACCAGCTCTATTGTGGAGATTCTTTTCTATAAGGTCCAGATGGTCCAGGTACCAGAACACCAACATTTGACAACTTAGATCAACTCCCTTCCACAGCTGAAACTGCTGGGCTTTCAGTTTTCGGCTCCTGCGCGCAACTGGCGGAGGCCGCTACAGAGGCACGCAACCTCTTCCATGAGACCTGGGATCGGCTTGGGCGCCCGGTCTGCGCGGGCCGCTGGGGGTGTTTTGGGAGGGCTTTGGGGGTGCTGAGACAGGTGTTGGGGTGAAGAATGGACCTGAGGGACAGCTTCAGAACAGGGCGCTAGGAACGTTTGAAGTTTGACCGTAGACTCTTTTGACTTTGCCAGCGAGAATCATACAGGTCGGGTGCCTAAACAACAGATGACTTGGATAAAGAAAAGTTGACCTCAGAACACGGCAGTCGTTTCGCCTTCCGACACCCTGGCGCAATTTCACACGAACCAGGAACGACACCATTTTTGCCCAGCGGCAATTTTTTCATCCATGAGTGACGTCAAGATCAAATTCAAGACACAATAGAACTCAATTGATGCCAATCAACTCCATTTGCCTCGTCTTCCGGCACCGAGGCAAGGAGAGGCCATGGCCATTTTAATGTTAGGCGAGAGCTTGGCCCCTTGGCAATGAGGGTCCGGTTTTCGGTGACCTCCCGGGTGTCGGGTCTCTCCCGGGTGTCGGGTTTCATCTCTGGTGCACCAGGGTAGCAGGGTAGTCTTCGGGGTTTCGCACTCGGTGAAGCAACGAATTCCTTGGTGCGAAGATGGTCGTTGGCTGCAAGAGATGCCCTTGGGATCCGCTTCGCTTTGCTCGCTCGCCCCTGGGGAAACCCCCAAGGTGCTCGATGGACAAACCGATGATGGCAAGCGAGTGTCCAAGGAGACCGTTGCTCCGCACAACGGTGACACCATGGTGACACAGTGGTGACACAGCACCAGGTAGGACATGGTAGGACCCTCCTCCTACACCGGCTTGGCTTCCCCATGAAACGGACAGAGATTGAAGGAGATCAGGAGATTCTCCCTTTTCCGACTCCTGATTCGTCACCCCTTGAGAAATCAGGAATCTGCGGGATTGTGTGGGTAGGTTATGGTATGTTATGGTACAAAGCCATCCAGGTTCAGACATTGTGAAATCTATTGAACAAAAGATCTGCATCTCGACAACATCGCCGCCGCGGCGAAATAGCTCCGCTACGTCGCTCCAGCTGAGGAGCTGGTCGTCGGTCCTCTCAGAGGTCCGGGTGTCGAACCTTTCTTGGAGGTTGCGGGTGTGTCGAAAAGGAGGTCCTCGACTTCGGGGTCCGGGTGTTATCCACGTCTTTCCAGGAGGCGCAAGAGATGTTCCAGTCGATCAACGACCAGGAGGGCGTGGACAAGGCCGGAATGAGCTCGTTTCTGCGCCAGGTGCAGGTCTTCTTGGAGACATCGACGGGTGTGAGTCATCTTAAGTACATGCTTGCACTGCACCGCCCTGCAGAAGATCATATCCCAGACACGATCTATGGGACTGCAAATATGCACATATTGGAGTGGTTGAAAACGGGGGTCAATGTAGGTAGATATGATGAAATATGCCAGTTTGATGGATCGTGTTTGGGTATCCTATGGCCATTGGCATGGCCTATGCGCCACTGTGAGACGTTCCTGGACTGTCCTTGGAGGCCGAAAAGACGCTCCAGCAGATCCAGGAGATCTTGGGAGCGCCTGCTGCGGCTTGGATGGGGAGCGCTTGCTGCTATGGGCTTCGGCTTCGGCGGTTTGGTGATCGGTTTTGCTTTGGTGTTCTCTTTGTTGCTTGTGCTTCAGAAGTGGCTTGAAGAGAATATTGCGACTTTAGTGACCTGCGAGGGTACTGTGAAGCACAGAGAAGAGGCGGGTGTCCATTTCCATGTACAATTTCCATGTACTGCAGCTATCTGCAGCTGATCACATTCCACCTCATGGGGTACAGCAAGGCTTGCAGTTTTATGCTTGGGGCATGTGGTCGTGATGACATCCCAAGTGGTGGACATGGCACTGGGGTGCCACAGGTCAGGTGAGTCCGATCTGAATTCGATGGGCTTTCGATGTGACAGTCCCTCCAAACCAACATGTCCCAAAGCTCGTAGAGGACATGGTCTTTGAAGTGTTGATGCGAAGACGTGCGAACGATGGGGTGGATTTTTTTTCAACCTGCATGTCCTGCGCCGAAAAAGCACACTCCAAACTTGCACGATGTTCGCGACAATGGAATGCTATAAGAGGGACTAGGGTAAATTGCAACAGTAATCAGGGTATTTCCAGACAGTTATGTTGTAAGGTGTTTTTCCAAGCTGTGACCGGTGTTTTTTGCGTCAGTGACCGCCACCCGGTGTTTTTTGCGACGGTTGCCCGGTGTTTTTTGCAACGGTTGACCGGTGTTTTCTGCGACAGCTTGTTTGACCGGTGTTTTCTGCGACAGCTTCTTTCCGTCGCCGTATGCAAGAGCTGATGCGAGCGCTGCTTTGGGGAGGGCACAGCGCCTCTCCCCCGAAGCCGCAAGCAGGCTCACCGCATCTCACAAGTCGAGCTTCCTTCTCAGCATGGACATCTAGCAGTTTTCCAATGCCTGCTACAACCAAGATGTCTACGGCGCGACAACAGAGTGCGGTGCCGTGCCCAATGTGCTGCGACATAGCCTGCCGGCGGGAGGCTTCAGCAGCAAGCAGCAGTCCAACATATAAGCCTTCAACATAAGCCTTCACCATTCACGTCTTGCAGTTTTCCAGCGCGTCTGCTTGCCTGCTTTACAACAAACGACAAGCGCCCATGCGCATGACTTGCTTGCGCCATAGCTTCCTGGAAGCCGCGGTCCAAGCGCGGGCGGGGGGGGCGCAGCAGCACGCAACATCACAACATGATCCTGCAGCATGCACGTCCTTCAGTTTTGCAGCCTGCCTGCTTCAACCAAAATGACAACCGCCACAGCATCCTCGGCAGCGGTCCGCATAACGGTATAGAAAAAAAAGAGCGGGAGGGGGGGCTCGGGGGGCGCCTCCCCCCCGAAACCGCAAGCAGTCTCACCACATCTAACAAGTCGATCTTCTGTCTCATAGCCTGCCGGCAGGGAGGCTCCAGCAGCAAGCAGCAGCTCATCATAAGCCTTCAGTATTCACGTCTTGCGGTTTTCCAGCGCGTCTGCTTGCCTGCCATTGACCAATGACAAGCGCCCATGCATGCGCATGACTTGCTTGCGGCATGGCTTCCTGGAAGCCGCGGTCCACGCGCGGGCGGGGGGGGGGCTCAGCAGCAAGCAGCATCACAACATGATCCTGCAGCGCGCACGTCTTTCAGTTTCAACCAAAATGACAAGCGCCGTCACTGCATCCTCGGCAGCGTGGAGGGCTTGGGGGGCAGGGTGCAGCGCCCCCGTCCCGAAACCGCAAGCAGTCTATCTCACAAGTCGATTTTCTTTTGCGGCATGAACACCTTGCAGTTGTCCAGTAAGTGCCTCGCGTAACGTCAATCGCTTGGGCGGTTGACGGGCTTGCGGGCTGCATGGCGCGTCCACGCGCTGGCAGACGCCGCGCGCAATGTCGCTGTTTGCCAGCGTCCCACAAAGAATGGTTGATGTAGGCCTTCTTCTATAGACCGGGCAACGTCGGACGTCGGATCTAGCGTCGCGTCTGCCTTGCGCCGGGGCTTCCCCAGCGCAGCGCAGCGACCAAAACATAAAAGCGTGCTGGAATGCGGCGGCAGCGAAGCCGTGACACAAATCGGTAGGGCAACCGCAGGAGCCCCCGCGGCAGATGGCAGGTTGAAGGGAAGGGCCCCCTCCTGGGATATCAATAAGCCCCTTCAACCGTTGAGCTGTCTTGTCGCGGCCCAGGAGGAGGGGGGAGCATGTGCTCCTCCCGGCAAAGGGCCGCAGCCTCAGTGCTTCTCCTGTCACTTTGGCTGCATGTTTCTCTGCTGAGGCTTGATGCCTTGCACCTTTTACTCAGGCCAGCTGCAAACTGCAGTGTCTTGATGGTTTGCTTTTGAGCTCTTTGCTTGGTCTTGCTTGGTGGCCTGCACCTTTTCTTCTTTGAACCGAGCTGAACTGCAAGTTTTGGCTCGTTCTCTTTGCCAATGGCTCCACGTCTTCTAGCCGCAGCCTCAGCCTTGAAGCGACTGGTTGCGTCCATTCCGGGCCTGATGTGCTATACTTGTGAAGGCATGACCGGGCGCTGGGCGGATGCCTCCGAGGCTAGTCGTGCTGCGCCTTTGTATGCGGGTAGGGCCATGATTTTCTTTTCTTCGTACGGTCACAAACTCATCCGTCGCATCTGTGTCAGGATTTCAACGTGACTGCGTTCCTGCACAAGTTTTGGGGATGTCGTTTGACATTGAAAACTCCTGTCTGGGCTCCATGTGCACCGCTTCGCATTGGCCTATGTCTCTGTAGATGTTTTTTTTTGCAACACCTGTTTTTATCCCAGGTGGGATGGATTCGTGTGCCGTACGAGGAAGACGCCAAGGCAAGATCTCAGTCTCATGCTTGCATTGCTCGACGCATACGTGGCAATGCCTCCTGGCAATAGGAGCCCCATCCGGGGAAGTTTGAGTTGCAGCGGCCTGTAGTCGAGCCCTTATACATGGGTGGGAACAGCATCACCATGAAGCGGCCTTGTGCTTCGGTACTTGTCCCCTGCTGCCGCTCAGGCCAAGCTTCCGTCTCCGTCGTCTCGTCCTTCGCGCAGGCGTCTCGTTGCTTTTCCCTGGAAGTTATGTGCCGTCGCCGCGCATAGACCCAATTCGTCCCAAGGCCTGTTGACCGAGCCGTTGCAGCCGGTGAGGTCCGATTGCGTTTTCCCGCGCGCTAGTGTCTTATAGGTCTATTGTAGATGATTGTTGTCCAGGATGATGCGTTCTTGGATCATGCTTGGCGAGATGCGCAGAAGGCCCCGACACATCTGTTTCAGTGCTGCCGGTTTGTGGATGTCAGTGCTTGCATGCAGATGATGCGACCTGTAGGCGGCTTCCAGCGGCTTGTTCCTCGAGATGTCTTGGTGTGCGGGTCCTATGTTGCTTTCGTCGGCAGGTGTAAGTGCGGTAATACATTATTGCCAGCGCCCGCCTTCCATCCAAAAAAGCAGGTGATAGCTACAGCTGGGGCGGACCCACGCGCCAGTGGCGCCGAAGCCTACTGCAGAAAGCGTGCGCTGGCTTGTCTTGCCATAGCTAGCACTTTCTGACAAACCTCTACCTGCCAAAGCATTCATCGCTCTATGCACAGGCTACAGCGCATAGCTGCTGTGCATTCGCCTGCCTCGGATCTCCACTTCGAGGCCTGAATTTTCAGTGTGCGTTTCCTTCCATCATCCCATGCCAGTGTCCAGCTTGGTATCTTTCGCGTCCTTTTTTCCCAGGTGACTACCAGCATCTTGCAGCCGGCGGATGTGACATGCCCTTTCGGAAGCACGCTTGTTCGCGTTCACACAACATGGGTTGTGTCCCACAAAGTTCGGAACCGGCGGATGCACGCTGCCCATGGCAACACTCCAGGCTCGGATATTTGCTGTTTCACATTGAGACTGCCATATGCTTCACGTGTGACAGATGCTTGTGATCTCGAGGCCTGCGCGGCGTCTTCCCAAACCTGACTGGGACTTCATGCTGGCTGGCCAGTCTTCTTCAATCTGTCTTTTCTTGCTTGCCAATGATCAAGGCGACTTCAGAACACCAGCGCACTCGGGCCTGCGCCAGCACCTGCTGGGCGTGTGCGTTGCGAGATACTGAACGCGCAAGCAGTGAGCCGGGGTCAGAAGTAGACCTTCAACCTCTTTGGGCCAACCCCTTGGAGTCGATTGGTGTGACTTTTGAAGAACAGCATGATCCCTTAGAGATTTTGTTGCAGCTGGGCCCTCAAGACACCATAGCTTTTCAAAGTATGTGGGCAGATCATTTTCACGACTTGAAGCATCATCCGCAATGCTCTTGCCCCTTCGAGATGCCCGTTGTGACGGCAGCACCGGTGCGGCATGTCTTCGCTGCTTTGACACTGCCACCGTTTGATGACTGCGCTGCCATTGCCCTCAATGACTTGCTGGACAAAGATCCTGCCATTGTGCCAGACGGCGGTCTTCCTTGCCCACACTGCTCGCAGCGCACTTCTTTGACATCTGCTGAGTCATGGCACCTAGGCCCTGTAGCTTTGCTCCAAGTTGTGCGCGAAACTGGCCTCGGTCAGCTGAACCGCACAGCTGTCTTTGCGCCTCCTGAGTTCGAGCGCGGGAACTATGTCTATTTTCTGCGTGCAGCGGTACTCCACCGTGGACAGTCCTTCGATTCTGGTCATTATGTGGCTTTCCTGCGGCAATCCAATGGGGCTGGCTGGGTGCAATACAATGATGGTGACCGTCCTAAACGGCTACCGCGTGAGCCGCCGCACCTTCAGACCCATTCGCGGTATTTTCTGTACGAGCGGGCTGAGGCAGGGTTTTCAGATAGCATTCCAGCATGACTTTGCTCCAGATGTTTGTCGTGCTGCCGGTGTTGCCTGTCAGGCGCCCACCACGGCTGCCAACAACATACTTTCTGAGGCTGGTTTTGCGTCTCGATCATAGTTTACCTTGCCGCATGCCGGGGGTTGTATATTTGCTTGCGCTTTCTGTCAGGTCTGCCCCGTAGCCAGCGCGACGCAGTCTGAGGCTTCCATTGTGTCAGTGTCATCTTTCGAACGATTTGTTGTGACCTGTGGCAAAGTGCC